TGAAGCAAACTATTTTTTCCAAGAGCTTCAGTCATGAGCTCGATGCATTTCCATGCTGGCTCTTTGTTCTTCCATGTTGGAAACTTAATAGTCCTCTTGGTTTTCCCGTGCACTTTTACTTCAAACTGGTCACAGAAAATGCATTCTTTAGGAAAGATAGAGCATGCTGATGCTTATGCAGTTTTCGACTTTTGAGGAGAATACTTATTTGTTGCAGAGGGCTGGTCTGAAGTAGCTAAAGTAGAACTTTTCTATCGATCCATCTTGGATGTGAAGTTCAGGTAGCAGTTCCTATGGTACCCAGTGTTCTCCAAGTTGACACCATCTAGTGTTTCCGGCAGCCGATCACAAACAGCCTTCATAAAATAAGGTGAATCAACTGGCTCAGCTAGTCTTCTGTCACGGACATCAAGTAAATGAGACAATCGCTCTTCTGAATCACCTTTCATAGAATTGAAGCAAGTAAAGCAGTCGTCAGATGCATTTGTGGTGTGTAATACACAAGTGGGAGTAGGGCTTTTGAGACGGGGTTGTAAGGTTCACTCAATTGGCCCAACAAAGATATCCAATGGTGTGAATAACACTTGCATTCATGTAGAACATTATATTATGGCATTGACCATTCTGAGTGAGCAGAGTGAGGGGAGATGGGTGAGGGGAAGTAAGCGAATGAAAAGGATAGGTGAGAGGAGTTTTTCCCGCATTTCTCTTAGTGAGATGTCAAAACGGATGTCTGCATGTTAATACACTGTGTGTGTATTGTCTGTATCTCAGAAGATCAAAGTGTCTGAGGTTCTTCAAGTCTTACGGGGTTCAGACACGTCTGATCACTTTCCTCTTTCCCCTTTTCATCATGGTTTGTTGTTTTTATATATTCTGCCATTGAGGAAAGATAAATATTAACATGAAATTAGTTTCATGGATCTGTAATTTCTGGTAGCCTACTTACTAACCAGTGGTGAAATGTAACTAAGTACATTACTCAAGTACTGTACTTAAGTACAAATTCAAGGTACTTGTACTTGAGTATTTCCATTTTATGCAACTTCATACTTCTGTTGCACTACATCTCGGGGGCGAATACAGTATGTTACTTTTTACTTCACTATAGTTATAGTAGTATACTGGATTACAATTTTTCATATCCCACGCGTCCAGTGAAAACTACGTATCTCCACATTTGGTGAATTAAAGTTTCAGATAAACTGAAGGCTGAAGTTTTCCTATATGGGTTGAGAAAATTCTCCTACTTCTAAAGCTAAATAAACTGATTAAAACCTTCTTGGATTAGCTTGAAAATGAATTGTCACAAAGCTCAAAACAGGGCTGTTTTGCTGAGCTCATGAAAAGTTGACATTTTAGAGATACGTGGTTCTCACAGGACAGTGGCGCTACAAACAAATTATCTTATAGAATATGATGCATTTCTGTAGAATAAACTACCCAACAGTATATAAAGTAGTTAAAATGAGCTCTACCTTAAACATCTACAGCAGTAAAATGCAACACATGCAGCAGTAATATTAATCCAAAAACATTTTATACTGTATAATGGTAAAACACTGACAGGGACCATTTTACAGCACAATGAGAACTTTTACTTTTGATAGTTTAAGTACATTTTGGTGATAGTCCATAGTTTTACTTTTGCAGTGTGGTATTAGTAGTAGTACTTTACTTGAGTACATGATCTGAACAATACTTCCACCACTGTTATTAAGTAGCTATGTTATCTATCTAACATTACCTAGTGTTAGCTAGCTATCTAGAAGGTAATTTAATTTGACAGTACTATATAATACTATATAATACAGTACTATAATATACCCATATTATCAATGTACAGTAGTGACATATTTCTAGTTGTAAAAAAGGTAGATAATACATATCAGATGTAAAATCTTTTTTGCTGTATCTTGCTGAGTGGTGACGATGGATATCTGAAATGCGTAAGTAGCAGTTAAAAGTAACCAATGAGTAGCTACGATGGCAAATAAGGAGTTAGAATGTAGCAGCATTGGGATGCTGTTCATGCCAATTTTTACTTTGATTTGTGTAGATTTTTTTCTGGGTTATATTTTAGATTTTGAACATACTGGTTTGTTTTGATTATACTTTCATTGCAAATATATTGAAAAAAATAAACCACCAGCGGGGTCACGTTTGAAGAGGTGGAGACTGATGACTGGAGACTGAAACTGGGTTTTGATGACTTTTGCTTTCAATTAGCTAGTATTATCAGATTGCCATATATGTCACAACTTTTTAACAACTTTGCAATTGAAATAAGAGAAAATCTAGTGTAATTTGGCTAATGCAGGAAACTATTGCGGAACAAAATAGCAAAAGTTACATTGTTTTGAGCCGAAAAATGTGTAATTTGCCTGCTTTTCAACAATAAAGAGTGGTTGTACCATGTCACTGACCTTTCTGTTTGATTCCTGATGTCAGAATTATATGAAAAAGTGGGTTCATTTGTGTTTATTTGTTGTATGGTTCAGGAGTTATCAAAATATGTGTTTTTTGCCACTCGTGATGACAATTTCAAGATGGCCACCAAACGAACCCCATGGGACATTAGTTGACCTCGGCAACATCAAAAATTCTTAACTAGACACCATTAGGGTTACAAAAAACCAGGTTACAAAAAACTATTCGTCCTGCCCTACTATAACCTCAATCGAGTAATTCTGTATGGAACATACTTTAGTAATATGGATTTAAATTATATCACGTTATGACATCAACACTAGATCCACCAATGGCGTGAGTTTGGGCGGGGCTAAATGTCTTCAACAACGGCAAATAAAAGGAGTGTTTAAAACTAATTCTCACTTACTCGGAAAAGAAACATCTGAACCCCTATGGACATGAGGCTTGAGAAGGTGATTGGGAGGCGGTTAGTAGAAATGGCGAGGAAGCAGGAGAGCAAGTAATGAAAGTAAGGGAAGAAGAAATCAGCTCGATTAAGAGGAACGGAACCATGTGATTGCTATTCCCGCTCTTTGATTTAACCCAGAATGCTGTGCTCCGTGATCAGCTAATCTACTGACAGGTGGCCTCGGTGTAATTAAGCTGAAGGGCCCTTGTTTAATCACTTCTTGAGTGAGCATGCTGGGAATCTGACCCCATATTCCTGGGGTCTTGTCCATTATATGCGCGCGCGCACGCACACACACACACGATTATTGATTTAATGATGGTTAATCTTGAATAACATTTATAGACTAATTAGAGGATAATGCATTAAGTGGGGTGTAAAATGGTAAAAGGTAAACTTCAAGACACATGCATTCAGCTATACATTAGGATATATATATACAGTGGGTACGGAAAGTATTCAGACCCCCTTAAATTTTTCACTCTTTGTTATATTGCAGCCACTTGCTAAAAATGTGGAAAATGTGAACGGAATCGTGGAATCAGTCATAAAAATGGAATTTATTTTGGATGAGTAAGTAGGTTGGTACACCTAAATGAAAACGCGATATGTACCAGTGTCTGTGAATAATACGCCACAAAAAGACTATGGCACAGACACATGGTTTTGTTTACTACACACATGCTGAAGCGCGCATAACGGTGGCAGTGTTTTCAAACTTGTGCTGCCTCAATATATGAGTACATAAACACATAAACAATCTCTAGACCAGGGGTGCCCAAACTCGGTCCTGGAGGGCCGGTGTCCTGCAGAACAGGACCGAGTTTGGGCACCCCTGCTCTAGACCTTCTCAGAGTCACTTCATGAGCATTTTACCATTTCTTTTGACAAAAACTATCGCCATATCACATACAAACAGAAACTTAAAGGTCTTCACCGCAACCCATCAAAATAAAAGATCGGTTTAACTTGAAGAAACAGTGACAGAAATATATTAAATAATGTAATGATAGTACTACTTCCGCTACAAACATGATATTTTTAAGGAATGTTCACCAGAAAAATTATTAACCTGAAGAATGTAAATACACAATATAGTATTTCTGAAAAAAATATATAAATAAATAAAATAATACATTTAAAAAATCAATTAATTAGACAAGCTTTTGATTATTAAAATGTAATGAAACCATTAAAATAGAATCCAGAAAATTAATGGAAAACACAGAATTTGGAAAAAAATAAAATGGAATTTGGGAAAAAATAAAACAGATTTCATACGGCCCTATATACATATACATCCTACACACACACACACACACACACAAAATAATTATAATATTAATATGTACTATTATGCTATATAGTACTACCATTTTGTGGTAGTGCTGTAAACAGAAAAACCTAAAGCTAAATGCTCAAGGACAGATCACACATTAGACATTTCACACACACTGAGATGGAAGGTGTTTTGCTAACTGGCAGAAACACAGCTATTGCCTCTAAAACAAACTCTTTTTTAGAACGTGAGGGGGCAGTCTGTGCTGTCCTGCTAAACCAAAAGCCTACACGGCAGCGTGTACACGTGTGTGTGTGTGTGTGTGTGTGTGTGTGTGTGTGTGTGTGTGTGTGTGTGTGTGTTTGTCTGTTTGTGTGTAAGGTTTGAGAGTGTGCTGATTTTGGACAGTAACAGTAAAATTGGACAGTAAAATTCTCTTAGGCTTTAGTGAACTTTCCTGTCAGCTCCAGACCTTATATAAAATGTGTGTGTGGAGTAGATGCTGAGGTAAAGGCTGGTCTCTTAGTGTCTGCCTAAAGTACGGCGTAGAGCCAGCACCACACTCACTGTGAGCTGTACACACACAAATGAAGCCAGTTACGGGGAAAACTGAATTATGTAGGAGACTGTGCATTGACCAGAAAATTTGAGTTTCCTGAAGCGTAACTATGTGAAATAAAATTCGATAAACACACAAACACAGAAGCAAGGAGCACGGGCAACTTCACACCAAGACACACTGTACAAACTTAACTTATGAGCATTATGACTAACGTCGTAGCTAATGAGTTCACTAATAAGCCTGGACTCTCTTGGGAGATCAGTTCTTAACAGGCTCACCGTTTCTCTTCTCCCTCTGATTGGTTTGGGTCCTGCTCCTTGGGCATGTGTTCCATTCACCTTATTTCCATCCAGCAGCCAATCATGTGAGACTGAGGCGGGCCCCACCTTCGAATGCACGCCTGTCATTCGCGGGTTGTGATGAGTCAGATAGTCATCGGACGGCTCTGCGGAGCGACGCTCGCAAACCAAGCCCGCCTCACTCTCCAACTCAGATGGCCAGTGATAATGCAGCAATATATGATGAGGTCTGCGAAAAAAGAGAGGATCAAAATGAGCATGTGCTCTAATCAATGCAGAATGCTGCAAGAACATACAGTGATGAAAAAGAATCTGAGATCAAACAGTAAGTGTTGCTTTCATTCACAAAACTTTGTGAGTAGTGGAACGTTTCCTGGGGAAATGCAAAAGTTTTGCGAACTAACACAAAGATTCATGGGAAATACAAAACTTTTCAGAGCGAATGCAAAGTTTCTCGGGGGAGTGCAAAACTTTTGTGAGTAAACAAAAATGTTCTCTGGGAGGTAAAAGCTATGAGATAATTGTTCCTCCGATCCCATATTTTTTATAAATGCTCAATACAAACTATAAACTTGCTTACTTAGTTATTATTGATAAATTTTATGTTTATTTATAACTTATATATTTTCTTTGTTTTTATCTTCATAGCATTTTCACCACCATGGTCACTAAAATTGAGTTTACAAATAAAAGTAATCTTATATCAATGTATTAATTCCTCCGATCCCATATTTTTTATGGGGCTCGATACAAACTATAAAGTCATTCATTTATATATTTATATATATTATTATATATATATATATATATATATATATACACACACACACACACACACACACTGTATATATTTATAATTGATACATATATTTATTTATAATTTATATATTTTATTCGTTTTGATCTTCATAGCATTTTCATCAATAAGGTCACTAAATTAGAGTTTACAAATAAAAAAGTAATCTTATATCATTGTACTAAAAGATAATTCCACGCAAAAATAATGGCATGACCCTCACAAACGTTGGCAAATCTTAATATAGTGGATTCAGTCAGCTGTATTTTTTATTAATTTATTTTGAGCGATTTTCCCCTCAAAAAGTAATCAATTAATTTAAAAAGTAATAAATAAATAAATACTCCAGTATAATAACTCTGGTCTACATTCTACTCTGAAACTGAGTGTCAGATGTGTGTGCATCCCCCTCCTCTTTTAGCTGTCTGTCCCATGTGACACACTTCCCATGAGCTCTCCGGAGCATCGCCGGCTCACTGGAGACAGAGAGCACACTTTCCAGGAAACAACTCCGATTAGGAGGTCCGTAATCCCATCTCTCCCTTTACCACATACTCTTTGCAAACCCAGGAGCTCACGTGCACCACTAGGCTGCTCTTTCACTTCTTTGGCAGCAACAATGTGTCTTAAAACCTGTGTAAATCACAAGGCCTTGACTGCCTCGATAATCTGGATTAGGTGGTAGGATATTGAAAAAAAACAATGATCGTGGGTCCATAGGTCACGGATTCTGATGAGCTGGACCACTTAAAGGCTCACTTGATGTAAACATGTCATCGCTTACAGTATTTTAACTGTGCATTTAGACTTAATTGTGTATGCAGACTGTACTGAAATTGACACACAAGTCTAAACACAACAGATGAGATTAGACAAAGGAAGTCAACGTACAAGCAAATTAGGGATTTGGCAACACAGCAAATCGGTATCCAAACTTAGTCTCTGTTTTGCTGTTGTCACAGGTCAATAAGGTCAGACTAAGAGTCCAAAAAAAGCCACTGATCCAGGATTATTTTTATATCGACTATTTTCACTGATATATTATCAAAAATAATACAGATATACAGTAGTTTTGATGTTGTGAGTGCATCTGAAAAAAGTAAGTGCACAGAGTGAGCAGCTGCAGGAAAACTGCAAGACCTGAATTGTCCTTAACACGAGACATGCTTTATATTAAGGACTTCAAACTAGCTCATGAGAATACAATTTAGCTCAGTGTTCCCTGTCAGGTGCTCTGACAGATACGTGTGCTAACAGATATGGTGTGCTGTTTGAGACGTGTTTTCCTCAGTGCATAACTTAAGTTTCACAGGTATATTCTCACCTCTAAATGAAAGAAAGTCACATGAGTATTTCCATTTTGCATAAAGGCTTGTCCTGACAGCAAGCAAGTCTATGCTAAACTTCACAGACTTCACGTCAAACAAGCACAACAGAAAGGGAGCACAATAATTCTGACTAAAATATACATTTTACTGAAATATTTGTTGGTGATTTGGCAAAAAAAAAAAAAAAAAAATAATAACGTTACCCCTATTTCAAAGAGAGCATGTGCAGACGAGGAGTTAAATGTGCCCGCTTGCTTGGCAGCGGAACAGTGAACCGTGTCTACACCGGACATGACACCGCCGCGTCGCAACAGGTTGAGTCTGTCTACACAGGACATTTGAACTTTGTGTCAGTACCTCATAAACAAGACGAGGCAGTTTACTGTCGGGGATTTGTCATGTCGTGTCACGCCGCATCCAGGGTAGACAGCATCACTGATTATAATGAGTTCTGGAAACAAGCCACAACACAGCAAAATTAGCACAACGCAATGGAAGCAAGCCACAACACGATGGAAACCAGCCATAACACAGTGAAATTAGCACAACACAACGGAAACAAACCACAACACAGCAAAATTAGCACAATGCAATGGAAACAGGCCGCAACATAACTAAATTAGCACAACACAATGGAAACCAGCCAAAACACAGCAAAATTAGCACAACACAATGTAATTAGTCCTATGTGCTGTGTTGCGGCGATTTTATTGTGTTGTGGAGATTTCGTTGTGTTGTGCACTACTGGGCCACCGTAGTAGTGGAGCGTTGTACTGTAATATTATCCTTGCAAACAGTTTCCAGCATTTCAGAAATAAAAGTCTAATAAAAAAAAAACAAAAAAAAAAAACAGAAGGTAAGACATTCTGTATTCAGACTGCAATGAAATCACTGACACAGACTAGCCCCTGCTAATTTTTTAATTACCTTACATCTCCCATGAGAAACAATTGCTGTCTAAACAGGGCTTAGGGAAAATAGCAGCCTAAACACTCTTCTAAATATCTTCTTTTGTGTTCTGCTAAAGAAAGAAAGTCACAAGGTTATCAAAAACCATGAGGAAGAGTCACTGAATTTTGGGTCAACTACAAAGCCCTTTAAGCACCCTTTAAGGCTAAAATGTACACAGATAATCTTGTTGCTGCCCAGGCCTGTATACTGTAGGAGGTCTACCTCTCTCTCCTGTTCAGTCAAGGTCAAAGTCATAAAGCCCCATACAATCAAACATACGGGATCTATAAATGTAGCTTTACAAGGCAGGGTTCCTGTTAAACATGCAACTGAGCGAGAACAGGGACAGGAGGGAGACCAGGAGAAAGAGAAAGAGAAAGAGAGAAAGAACACAGCAGTTTAAGTTTAATTCAGCATAGGGCCATAAACAGGTAAAAAAAAAAGAGGTGGTGTTTGTTAATGATGACTGTTTGTTTTAGTGTGTGTGTGTGCGCGAGTGTTGTAAAAAGTGCAAAGGGAGCCAAAAATGCACAAAGGCCACATAAATTTTTAAGTAGAGCATTGAAGGTATGGTATCTTTGACACTGCACCTGTGTATGTGCGGGAGTGGGTATGCTGTGTGTGATGGGGCAGCGCTTGACATATATGTTGACACAGTGCATACATTTTATATATATATAAAACTGCAGCAGGTGCAGCTGAGTAAGATTTTCGGCCTCATTTTTCTTGCTGTAAGTTTGTCGCTGTTTTCTGCATTCTCAAACGTGGCACTAAAACTTTTTAATTGGCAAGAAGAAAGTGGACTCTGTTTCTCTCTTCCTCTGTTTTCCTACTTTCTTCTTGCCCTTAATTCAATGCTTTAAAATGCTGGTTTGAAAGTAGCATGAAAAAGAATAATTAGATAGTATGTTGCAGAGCTAAACAGCCTCTGTTAATTAGCCTCTCTCTTTCACTCTTTCTCTCTTTTTTCATTCAGGATAGAAGGCTCCAGTCTTCCTACTATTTTATAATTACAATTATATTTATATAAACAATTTTACATCACAACCGCAGTACAATTAAATTACACAATAAGTTACAAGATAGTTAAAAGATAGGCATTTTCATCTAGTGGGATTTGACAGGTTGGCCGCTATACTTATGAACAGCTAATGACAGAGCACTGAAGATCCAGGAGATAAACATTCCGGACTGTGATTTGATATGATCTCAGTGAAGGCCGCGTTGTGCAGATGCCATTATGCCAGTCAGAGGGCACCATCCTTTAATGAATGTTTCACAAAGAAGCCAACGCAAGAAGAGATCCTTATATAACCAATCAACTCACCGCCTTTGAAAAAGAGCATATTGTACGTCAAAAGGACTGAAAAATGCTACTTTGCTTGATTGCCGATCTCAGCCTAACTATAAGATCTAATGCACCAATCACACATATCCTTGCTGAGTAGCACCTTCGCGTTAAAATAAAACTGAAGAAACACCTTCCTTGTGAATGTGTGCCTAAATACCTTTAGAGCTGAGCACAGCCTCTAAAAGCAGAGATGGTGGCAGGTTTAGCTTACAACAAAACACTGAGAATTTGTTTTCATACAAAAATACAAAATACTCACCAAAGCCACTTTTTTTGTTTCATTTGGTGCTTGGCGAGTGTTAATATTGGACCCTGCCTCACTTGTCCTCCTTTCCAGCGATTGCTGTTTACATTAGGTGGAGTGGGCTGATAAAGTTGTGTGATTGATGGCTAGTTAAACTGCCTCTGTAAGTCACCACATGCCTGATTATTGTCTCTCAGTAGTTGACCTTTTAGTAGTTGTTACTACTATGTGTCAGGTTTACAAAGAGTCGATGAGAAATGGTTTAGAAAAGGACAGAAGAGAGAAGTTGAAAGAGAAGAATGGTCAACCAGTTTGGGAAGGTTGGCCAATGGAGAGTTATAATGCTGCTCTATATGATTTAATGCAATTTAATGACAGTAAATGATACAGTCACAAAAAAATGTATACAATTATACACAATATATATATATATATTTTATTTTTTTTTTTTTTTATTTTCCCCCTAAGTATCATGCAACACTGAAAACTGGAGCCATACAGAACAGCCACGAAAAAGGAGCCATACAGATTACAGTAAATATAATAAAATAGACAATAG